GGTATATAATAGGATGCTGTTAGCAGTCTTTTTCTTTCATATTCATCATAGAATAACATAACTCAGGCCGTCTTTTCCTCACATTAGGGCAGAGTCTAGTCTTGCTCATAGTTTGTTTCAGCCTCACTTGCTTATCAAAAGTGTTCTTTGTTTATCTCCCTGGCTTATAAACATTCTTTACCCTCCCAGTGTCTCTTATCGGGAAAGAGAAACAACTTACAACATAGTACTTAAATTACAAGTACTTTTAGATCCATGTGATTCTCTTTACATAACTTTTATTTTAAGTAAGCTGATTCCGTAAAGAGGGGCTCACATTAAGAATTGCCTGTTTTTTTGCCCAGCCGGGCATGTCTCAGCAGTTGAGCATCGACCTAGGACCCAGGAGATCAAGGTTCAATTCCAGTCAGGGAACATGCCCGGGTTGCAGGCTCGATCCCCAATAGTGACTCATCATTGATGTTTCTGTCTTTCTCTCTCCTTCACTCTCTGAAATCAATAAAGATATTAAAAAAAAACAACACCTATTTTTCTTTACAAACAAGACCTATTCTGTTTTCACAGGAGGGTAAATGAGGTATTGCCTTTTAGCACTTCCCACAGTGCCTGGCTCATAGTCCATGAACACAGGCAGACATACCTTGGACACATGGCAGGTTAGGTTCCAGACAACCACAATAAAGCAAGTTGTAATCTTTTGCTAGTGGAAGGTCTTGCTTTCAATTTGTTTAAAAAAAATCTGAAGTGCAATAAAACGAGGTATGCCTATGTTGGGAACTTGTTACCGGCTATGGTGCCGCCACATCTCAGGCATTTTGACTGAATATCATGAGTTTGACATCTCATGAGTGGCATGACTCAAAGTGATACCTTGTTTGGTGTAGGAGACAATTAAAATGTAAATTGAAATTTTAATTCAGTGCTTTCTATGAAATAGAAACCATTATCATGATGATGTTTGAAATTCATTTAAGCATAAAATACTCATATTACTGTTTTTTATTTCTTTAAATTTTTAATTGATTTTTTTTTCTAGAGAGAGGAAGGAAGAGGGGGAGAGAGAAACATCAACCTGAGAGCGAAACATAGATCAGTTGCCTCCTGCACAAGCCCTAACTGGGGACCAAACCTGCAACCCGGGCATGTACCCTGGCCAGGAATTGAACCGGCGACTTTCCGGTGCACGGGATGACACCGAACTGAGCCACACCGACCAAGCTAACTTTTATTTGCGAATATGAGCTGGGGCTTCAGTGTCAGGCGTGTTTAGGGCAGTATGGCCATACACACTGGGACTGGGGCTACAGTTTCAAGTATTCTGTACAAATAGTCCATCTTGGAAGGCGTAAGTTTTAGTCCTAATAAATGAGAAGCCAGGTTGTGATTAATTACTCGTCTCCTTTTCACATTTTTTAAAGAACTAGAGAGAACTTAATGAGCTGCATGAAGACTGGACAGTGGCAGCTTCCACGTAGGATGGAGTATCGTGCGACTGCAGGATCATTTTCATTCATTTGTACTTCAGTGCTGGTGTATTTTCTGCTTTGTTTTCAATGAGTGACCAGTTATGAACATAATTAAATAATGTAACTAAAAGTGTATTAAATAATATGAAAGCTGAAAACCAAAGCAGCAGCTAAGTGAAGATGAGACCATGTGACGGGCCATCCGCACACTCGTCTGACTTCCAACTACTGATTGTGTGCACAGGAGCCGCTCCAGGGTTTCCCACTGACCCCATCTCCGTTGGACATAGTATATCCAAAAAGGAAGGAAAGGATGCTTTTGTTGTCTTGAAAGGCGCTTCCCTAACTGCACGAGGGGGGATGCCCGTGTCTGAAACACAGCCCAGCTCACACTGAAACGCGTCCTTGACGACTAGGTGATGTCTTCACCTGCCAGCTCAGTAGTCTCAACCTAGGGCAGCGGCGACGTGTAAGAAAGCTTGTGGCTGCCCCTGAAATCAGCCCAAAGCATCCCGTAGATGGCTGAAAGTCTGACGGGCAGAAACTTTAATGGCTGAAAAACTATTTTGCAGAAAAGAAAATGAGAGATTAGAGTGGGGCCAGCAGTTTAGGAGAACAGATGCTGAGGGGGACACAGTGAGAGGCAAAGACGCTCCTAAAGCTGGTGGTCACTAGGGCAATGGCTGAAACAAAAGGCCCCCGAGGAAACGGCAGGAGGCTGCAAGGACAGAGAGTGACCAGCAGTCTGGGAGGACGGTGCAGTGGGGGGCCCAGCAGCATGCAGACCCCACCCTCGCACCCTCTCTGGCGGCAGGCCCGGTGGTGGGATCCGAGTGCAGAAGGGCAGCAGGCACTTGCCTTCCGTTCTGAGCACAGGCAGGAGGAGGCTCATCTGGGAGCGCGTGTCGTGCAGGCACACGTTCTGCTTCTGAAGCCAACCCTGGGGCCCTCGGCCTCAGTCCGCTTTGCCGCGACGGGGGTAACGAGCACCTGCCCCACCTGGTGGTTTGAAAGATTCAGTAAAAGAATCCGTTGAAGTTCTTAGCGCAGTGCCTAGTGTGCAGTCAGCTCCACAGGTGCTGCTTGGGAAACAGCCTCTTAGGAAGGCAGAATGTGAAAGCGAAATGAGCTGCACTTAAAAGGCAAATGCGGTTTTGGTTTTTTCCCAGTTCTGCGTTGTAAAATCCTCTCTGCTGCTGAGAAGTCAGAGAAGCAAAGTTTATAGCTCAGATTGGTAAAGCCGGTTAGGAATACCAGGTCTGGAGGACGTGTGAGAGGCCCGTGCTCGCACTCGTGAATTTTTCTGCATTCGATTTTAAAAAATCACTTTCTTGCTGTGAAATTGTTTTATTAACTAAAATGTAAACCTTTGACAAGAATCCTAAAGCCTTTATCGTTGGGTAGTTGTTGGTGGGAATTACTGATAGCTTATAAATTATATTTATTGTTAATAACTTAATGCCTGACAACTTAGAGTGTGGACTTAACCAACTTTGACCACTTATTTTCCCATCCAAGGCAAGTTCTTTGTTCTGCGAACAATTACAAACAGTGGTTTGTGGAATTTGAAATAGTAACCTGGCCTCCCCTCTCCAGGGTTAAAACAAAGGTCCTTCTGACAGTCTCGAGCGCAAACGAGGTGGCTCTTTGCTTACACTATTGGACAGCAGTCCGTCCTTGCTCCCAGGAAAAAGACATTGAACGTATCGCACCGTCCTGCCGACTGGCACAGAAAAGTGCCTTTCACTACGTAATGAACAGTCCGTCCCAAATCGACTCCCGAGCACTTCCTACTCGCGCGTGTTTCCTGAGACCCTTTCCAGATCCCAGCATAATTTCTCTCTTTGATCTTCTAGATTGGCCTGGGCCAAAAACACTCAAGACCCTGGAATTGCAGTAGGTTCCCAGGCCCCACTAGAAAAGAAGATTAAGGTGAGGAAATATTTACCATGAATTTTGGAGCCAGCAATACAATACGTTTATCACCAGGATGGAGAGGGCCTGAGGGCTCTGCCTGTCGTGTTTGGTTCACTGAATCCCAGTGCCAGCTGGACAGCACTGACCACAGTGCACAGCCTGTGTCCTCACTGGGCTGTCCGGTGAGGGACGGTGACCTTGAGCTGATTGCTACCACAGGTTGTGCCACTGTGATGAAAGGGTGGGGTCTTACTTGAGCACGGGGAAGGTCTGAGGAAGTGACATTTAAGCTGAAGCCTGCGAGTTGCAAGTGCCCTGGCCAGAGCTGTGGAGGACCCGTGAAGCTGCTGGGGGACAGAACACGGCCTCTGAGGCGCCGGAAGCCGAGGCTGCGGCAGGTGAGCGAGCAGTCTGGCCGAGAGGCTTGGAGAGGCGGTCAGGAGCCAGATCAGGAGGCCACACTGGGCTGTCCGGCAGGAACGGGATGGGATTGATCTGTGGGACGCAGCGGTCACTGCCGCTGTGTGCCGGGGCTGGGGGCAGAGGGAGAGGAGTGGGTTCAGGGAAGCCAGTCGGGCTACAACCCCAGGGAGGGTGCGTTTTGAAGTTAGATGTGACGGGGTTGAGGGGGAAACTGACGAACACGCTGCAGGGAGTCGAGGAAACAGCATCTGGGCCTGACGCTGAGAGGCAGGCAGAGGGCAGCCCTGTCCACCCTTCCCCCTAGAGCAGTGGGTCACCTGGCTGAGTGACTGAGACTGTCCCTGTCCAAGGAGGCCTAAATGTGACTGTGCTCTATCAAGTGACAATTTTGCTGTCCTTTCCTGCATTACATTTAAATGACAGGAGCAGCAAAGCAGGTGAAAGGAGTGGCCTGGAGGAGGCGAGGAGGGCTTGTCAGTCCCTGGAGGACATTCAGCCCACGGCTGGACAGCCCAGGGGTCCGAGCTAGCCTGTCACAGGCCCTTGTCCACAGGGCCTGGAAGCCCAAAGGAAATAAATATTTCAAGGAGTGCAGTGGTCACCTCCCCTCCACAGAAGGCTGCCAAGAGGTCAGGTGTGACGGGGACAGAGGTGGGAGCACCGGCGGGCAACGTGGCGATGCCTCAGGACCGAGGTGGGCGCATCTTGGAGAAGGGCGAGGACAGGAACCCAGTGGAAGGAGGGGGGAGCGCGGGGTGAGAGAGTAGAGGGGCTCTTCGGGTGACGCCGTGACGTGGGCAAGAGGCGGCAGAAGCTGGGGAGGGCCCCGCGTCTGCCTGAGGACACGGTGGAGCAGCTTTGTGCTGAAGGGGCTCCAGGAGTGGGAAGGGGACCTGGACGCTGCGCATGCAGGCCTGGGAGCTCAGTGGGCACAGGCGGGAGACTGGCTTCTGACGAAGGGGCGGTGTTTCCGCTGGGAAGGCAGGTCCCGGAGGGACGCGTGGGGTGGTCCCGATGGGGGGAGCTCCCGAGGGACTGCTTGTTTCCTCGAAGTCTGAGGCCAAGTCCTCAGCTAGGAGGGGACCCTCAGAGGGGAGCGAAGAGAGCGTGACGCGCAGTGAAGGGACGCCAGCTGGGACATGGTGCGGCAGTGGCAGTGCCAGGCGGGGCTGACGGCCGCCTGAGGTCCGCACCATGGACCAGCGCAGGAGGTTCCGACACCGCCCTCTGACACGCGGCTGGGTGGCGTCCATTCTGCAGAGGTGAGGAAGTCGAGTCTCCAAGTTCCGGCAGGAGAATGGGACGCTTGGTAAGCCTAAGGCCCTGTCTTCTGACTTCTGGTTTGCCAGAGCAGAGCGCTGCGGTCAGAGACCGAGGTGCTGGAAGGTGCACGGAAATACACGATGGTTCCAGAATGGGAAGCCCGCGTACCGGAGGAGGAGAGACCGCGGGGCGAACAGACGGGCGGCGCTAAACAGTGGGACTACCTAGTGTCGGCGAGGGAGCTGAGCCAGATAAAGAAACACATCTTCCGAGCGGAGCGCGCCAGGGGCCTCAGGGACCACAAGTACCGGCTGTTTCCTCAGAGAATCCCAAGTGAGAAACTTCCCCCCAAAACGCTCACCCCGCAGAAGGACGAGAGGGCTCACAATGTCCAGAAAACACCCAAAGCCAAGCCCCAGAAGCACCAGGCAGCATGGGCGCAGGAGCAGATGCAGAAACACCAAGACCGCATGGCTCGGGGGCGGGAACGTGCGGAGCAAAGACACCCTAAGCCGGGGGCCCAGAAGCCCCCCGCCCAGGCGCCTCCCCTCCTGAAGGCTCGGGGGAGGCCCGAGGGAGTGAGAGAACTGGAGCGGGTCACAGCCTACCCCATTGCCCAGCCTCGCCAGGACGCACCCATGGAAGTGACCGTTCTGATGGAAAAGCCTAAAGGAGAGAGCGAGGTTAAAAAACCACTGGGAAGAGAGCTCCTGGCTGTACCACCGTTTCTGAAAAGTCGACTAGAAAATAAAGTTAAAATTTCCTAGATGATTGTATTTCTTTTTTAGGCTAGCGTACTTTCATAGTGCAGGAAAATCCCACGCCCTAATTTTGTTTCTAAGTGCCTCAAACGGGGGTAAACTATAAACACAAAACTTAGAGTTAAAACCACCGTTTTATTATAGCTCATAATTCTGTATTAAGAATTCAGGCAGAGCTCAGCTGGGCACGTTTCTGCCCCATGGGGCACCACTGGAGCCACTTGGGGACACTCAGGGGACAGCTGCTCTGGTCTGGAGGGTCCAAGACGGCTTCCCCTACGTGCCCTTGGCCGGAACAGCTAGAGGCTGGGCTTAGCTTGGCCGTTTCCTCCCCTCTCCCCACGTAGTTTCACACGGGCTCTGCGAGGCCTGTCAGGCCCCCCAAGGCTGCTTACGGCCTGGCCTCAGGAACCCCAGAACGTCACTCCTGCCATACTCTAGCGCTCGAACGAGTCCCCGAGGCTGCCCCACTTCACGCAGAGAGGAGACAGACTCTTCCTCTCAAAAAAGTTTGCAGCCATTTTTCAATTTCCCCCTGAACTCTGAAGCGTCTATCACACCACAGAAGAAACAAAGCAGAGCAGGTCCTTCTGTAGAACAAGCCCTGTGGTGAGGGCGCGGCCTGGGAATGCCCCGGGGGATCCGCAGGCAGGCAGGCAGTCAGTGGGGAGGAAAGCAGGCCTGCCCGCAGCCAGCACCATCCACCGAGTCAGGCGCAACACTGGCCCCAGGGGACCTCATGGGAAGGGTTTGCAAAGAAGGCCAGGGGCACAAGCAGGGTGACCGAGCAAGAACGGGCTCCTCAAACTCAGGTGTGGGAGGAAGGGCTTTGTGGGTACTACACAAACTTGATTTTACAAGAATAATATCCATCAGCTGTTTTTTTGATTCAGAAGCTGAAAACAAGTGGCCCCTACTCAGCCCATCTGGGTAACTCCCACAGATTTTTAAAAACAATGAAAATGTACACGGTTAGGAAACGGTAGTTTCAGAACGTACAGGATGCAAAGTGCCGGCTTCTCCACCTGGGTTTGGAAAAAGTAACCACGCAGGTTTCTTAGCGAGGACTGTCTGAAACACGCAGAAAGCCAGCGAAGGAGCGAGGAAGCCCAGGCCACACACACGTGCTTGAAAAATCACAGCGTGAAACGTCCAGCACAGGCCACTATTTGGAGACAGAAAAGGGGCATTTCTAGACGGGAAGCCGGTCAGCAGTTGGTAGGCTTCCCGTCGGGTGAGCAGGGTGGGGAGAAGGCCGGGTGACTGCTGATGGGTGCGGGTGGGGGTCAAGTATGTCCTGCACCGGACTGTGGTGACGCTGGGGTGACTCCCCCGTGAACAGACTGTTGATGTTACATGTTAACGGTGCGGCACGTGAATTCATCTCAACGAGGCCGTTTAACACAAATCAAAGAGCCGGCTCGAGTCTGGAGCCTGGCAGCGTAGGCAGAGGGCCCGACGGGGCGAGGCTTGGAGCTCCGCTGGGGCTCAGCTGTCTCAACCCTGCAGGCAGTGGGGAGCCCTGAGAAACTGACATGTGGCTTTAAAGGGGGAGGAATCTGAAGGACAGACAGGAAGCAGGAGACAATGGCCATGGTTTACCGACTGGTGCGGTTCTCACTTCAAGAGGAGATAGGACAGTAACTTAGGGGTCACGACAGCTTTGTGGAGATGAGCATGGCTGAAGGGAAGGCACCAGACACGGAGTGGGGATGACGCGGAGTGGGGATGAGGCCGAGTGGGGATGAGGCCGAGTGGGGATGAGGCCGGGTGGGGATGACACAGAGTGGAGATGAGGCCGGGTGGGGATGACACAGAGTGGGGATGAGGCCGGGTGGGGATGACGCGGAGTGGGGATGAGGCCGAGTGGGGATGAGGCCGAGTGGGGATGACACAGAGTGGGGATGAGGCCGAGTGGGGATGACACAGAGTGGGGATGAGGCCGGGTGGGGATGACGCCGGGTGGGGACCTGCGGGCGCAGGAGGAGCTAGAATCCAGAGCCTCCCAGAGACACCTCTACCTCTGACATGAGCGGGGGGAGGAAAGGGGGGGTGCAGAGAGCCGAGGACAAGGAACCCACCAGGGACCGAGAACACCAAGGGCAGACCCCAAGGCCCAGCAGAGATCAGATGTGTGGCTTCCCTCTGGCGGCCGAGGACGGAGGAGCTTCTTGTGTGTAAATCACAGGCTGAGCCACGTGACACTGCTGATACTTGACCATGTTTTAACTATAAAAACTATCTCATATGGTACAACCTAACGTGTTGACGTGATAGCCAGCTTTACAGCTAAAGGATGCAAAGAGCCCAACGATGTGTAGGCCATTAACAACCTATCTCAAACTGTCAGGACAGGACAGCCTCCCGATAACAGGAAATGAAGAGTAACTACAATTATTGTGAATATGGCAGTGAATTTCCTTTAATCAAAGACAACCATGACAAATTCATAAACTATCAAAAGCTACATTTTACTAAAAACAATCTGTCTTTAAAAATGTTCAATCATACAATATATACAATACATGCTGCTTTCCTTTTGGATTTCACTTTCCACCTGAGTCCTAAAAAAGGGAGGGGAAACAGCTGGTTAACAGTTTATAAATCAGAAGCTGACTTAAAGTGCATCAGTGAAACCCAAGAGCCAGCCCCTCAGTGAGTGGGGCCCAGGCTAACCCTTACACTACATCTGCGCCAACACTCCCCTCCCCGCAGTCATCCCAGAACAAAAGGAGCTCAATTAACTGAGGCACGTACAAAGAGTTTACAGTAAGTACTAAAAGGCTAATTTTAACTCAAAATCATAAAAAATTTGAACTGGGGGGGAAAAAACAGACCACCTTAGCAATTATCAAATTCAAAACCCTCCGCATTTTATAGCTGAGTGAGCTGAGGAAAGTGACGCTGAGCAAGAGTGACCAGCCCAACGCTCCAAAGGGCAGAGCCAGCAGAGCCCAGCTCCCGACCCCCGCAGCAGTGGGCAGCGCACAATGCCAGGTCCTCACCGAGCTTTCCCTCCGCAACGGTCCCGTCGTGAACGTGGGGAACCGCTTCACGGCCGCTCAGGTCTGAGAAACGGCCCTTACTCGCCTTTCCAGGGAACCCTCTTTTGCTGCCTTGTACCCACAAAGTGAGCAAATCTAACGGGACACTGAGCAAAGCTGATGGGAGGATTCAATATTCACTCATCTCACTGACCAGCTCGTTAGGGGTTAAAAAAGCCAAACCAAAAACAAACTCCTGCTCTGCCTCCGCTGCCGGCACCCACCAGGTCCTGCCAGCTGGCCGTCGTCACCAGCACACGGCTCTAACCACGGGGCACTAGAGGGAGGCAGGACCCAAGCTTCCCCAGACTGTGACAGAACAGGGTGGTCCGGGAGCCAGGGGCAGTGTAATGATCACCTGCAGCCGTCCCACAAGAAGGCGCCTCAGCTGGCGTCAGCACTCAGGCTCTGCCGGCTCTGGCCAGAAACGATCACGGGCTCAGAGATCTCAAAGGTCTTCACGATCTCCTGCGGGAAACAGAGCACGTGGGCACCGAGGACAAGGCACCCAGGGGCCACCGAGGTCGGGGACAGGACCACCTGGGGTGCCGAGCGGAGCTTTACCTCCCAGTCACGGTAACTCAGGGCTATAATCCCCTGATTCCTGATCTGGGTGTTGTGGTCAATGCCTTCACTCTCCTCATTAATATTAACAGGCTCTGTGTGAAAAACAAGTTTCCAAAGGTTATCAAATCAGAAGAGGTCATCTAAACAGAAGCTGACCAACAACGGGAATGAAACCTGTGCTGAGAGGACTGGAGCATCCCATACGTATGAGGCTTCGTGCATCGCTGAGCGGTAATATTATTACAGCAGCAGGGAGTCCACTGCTTCCATTAAAAAAAGTAATCGAGTGACCCACTCCCACCGCTTGAAGACCTCTTCATACCCACGTACCAGCTGCAGAGCTGAGCCCAAGTGAGTCCACCGTGAACTGATACGTACAAATGCAATGGAAGTACTTCCTTTCCCACTGGAGATCTTAGCGTGAAGGAGGGTGTGGCATTACCCGACTAAGAATTAAAGGTTCTCTCGGGGAGAAGGGACTGGCACACCAGGGAAATAGAGAAAGGGAAACTACGAAAATAACTGCAATTACAAACTCTCTAAATTAAAATTTGAGGGAAATTGTATCATTTCTTGTCAATCTTGACAACAGATGTTGAATCAGTGACAGAGGAATCCATCAGTTTTAAACTATGGCTGTGTTTTCAGTATTTTCAGTTAGTTGAGCAAGATCTAGCATAAAAGTTTGTTATCTAAAATGAGAACTTTTACGTTTAGTAAAATACATTTCATAAACTCTAGTACTAAATATTTTTCTCTAAAACTAATTTTTCTGAACATAGGATCATTTACCTATTATTGGCAATCGGTCTTGGTCAAGTTTTATTCTTGCAAAACCATCCTAAAACACAAAAAATTGTTTTAGAAGACTAAAATTTAAATCCAAAACCTACAACCATTGGATAAAAAATTACTCCATTAGAAAGTCTGTATCTCAGACAGTGAAAACATAACGAGGCGATTCCACGGGCAAGACTTGAGCACCTTTCCTTACACTCCACAGGCTCCACCCTGAGGACCTGAAACAAAACTGTCCTGCTCCTCAGCTGATGCACACGTACTTTTGCGTATTCACACTTTCTTACGCATACTTTCGTCATTTACCACGGTCAGGTACGCCTTCATTATTCTGGGGAAACATGGGTCAATACGAGATTCTTGTCTCAGGTTAAGATCAAGTTCATCTTACGTGTGCAGGAAAGCAACCTGACGGGACTGAAGAGTCTAAAGCACATTGCCACAGCACATTTTTTTTTACCTACTTTGAAGCAATTTCAAACATAAAGAGGTACAAGATCCTCCGTATCCTTTACTCAGCCTCACGGTTGGCGTTGCCCACACTGGCCCTCCCTCTGCAGGGAGGCAGAGGAGGCTTACAGCCGTTCGCATGGAAAACAATACAACAAACAACGTATGAGAACAGGCTGTTTCGAGTACTCACAGCTGTAAACCTACATCTGACCACCCGTCACTACCAACTTTTGTGAGCGTGATGGACAACCTGACCCCTCCCCTAACGCTCCGGTGTGCGCTGCTTCAGAAGGACATTCCCTGACACGACGTGACTACATCACATTTGGGGAACTTAACACTGACACCAGAGTGTTAGCTAAGCTACAGTTCCGTGTTCGAGTCTTCCCAATTCTTCCACTAAATAATTTCTTTTTTTTTTCTATTCTCACCTGAGGATATTTTTTCCATTGCTTTTCAGAGAGTGGAGGGGGGAGAGAGAGACATCGATTGGTTGCCTCCCGAATGTGCCCTGACCAGGGCTGGGGATCAAGCCTACAACCCATGTATGTGCCCTTGGCCAGAATCGAACCCGGGACCCTTCAATCCATGGACAACGCTCTAACAACTGAGCCAAACCGGCCAGGGCTTTCACTAAATAATTTCTAAACAGAAAAGCAAGCACCCAAACTTAGAACTTGTTTCTTGTTTTAACCAGTTTTCCCGCTTCCAGGTCAGTATTTTGCTACAATTGGTCTAACCCATACTGGTTAGTACAACACCTCTGCTGGCTCCCATCTACCGCTGTTATTAGTTACCTCGTTAAAAGCACATAAAAACAACCGAAGGAATGAATCTTACCCTCACAATGAAGGAAACGTGAAAGATGTTCTCCACCGTGCGAGGGAAAGAACGTGGGTCGATCACAAAGTCAAAGAAGGACATAGGAGTGTCAGCTACGGACAAGAGGGAAGCAGTTCTTTAGGAAAACAGCTGTTATGCAGCAGTAAGCCAATACTCTAGCGTCAGCCCCGGGAAGGGATGGGCACCCTGCTGTGGCGACCCTTCTGAGGGTCACTTGGCACATCTGTTAAAACCTGGTATGACCCCTGGACCTGACATCGACCTCCCCACCAAAAGGCTGTCCTTCAGAAATAGCTCACATGCACAATCAGGCCAGATTCCTACAGAAATATCAGCTCACGTGCAAAATCAGGCCAGATACCTACAGAAATATCAGCTCACGTGCATAGTCAGGCCAGATTCCTACAGAAATATCAGCTCACGTGCATAGTCAGGCCAGATTCCTACAGAAATATCAGTTCACGTGCATAGTCAGGCCAGATTCCTACAGAAATATCAGTTCACGTGCATAGTCAGGCCAGATTCCTACAGAAATATCAGCTCACATGCACAATCAGGCCAGATTCCATCAGAAATATCAGCTCACGTGAACAATCAGGCCAGATTCCTACAGAAATATCAGCTCACGTGCACAGTCAGGCCGGATCCTGCACTTCCAAGGTTTATAAGGGAGTAAAGTGCTACTAGGAACGCGCTCGTCCGCTAGCAGAGGGACTAGTAAGTGCATTTATGCCACAGCCACACAATGGGAACCGCTGAGAGAATGAGGGAAGCTACAAGCACCAGGAAGGAAAACGTCCACAGGGAAAAGTCACGTGCAGAACGTGTGTATTACGATCAGCTTTGGGGGAAAAACAAAAAACAAAATCCTAACTGCTCATGTGCATATTTATACGACTGACATAAACATAATCTGAAAACCTCCCACCACATTTTACAGGCGGCTAGCTCAGGAGAGGAGAGGTGGAACAGGTACTTTTTACTTTTCTCACCTCTACATGATGTTTATTTTTTTAACAAAAAAACACCCCATTGTTTAAAAATAAAAGGTACTTCCCCAACCTTCCCCCATGGGACCTCTAAAGGGGAGAGGCCGCATTAAGTACGTGGGCCAAAGGAATCAGATGACTCGAGCATCACACGTAACTGAAAATGCCACTGAATAAAAACAGCTTCTCCTGAAAGTGACATGTCTAAAGAATGCAGATCGCTCCATCTGGAACTTGGTGTCATACTTACGATCTTCTCGAAAGTATGTCTGCAACAATCCTAAGATTCTTTCTACTTCCTTTTCTGTGGCTTCCTGCTGAGATTCTTCCATTCTTTTTAACTGAAAATACAAAGTCGTCAGCAAGCCGCCGGGCCTCCTGCCTGTCAAGCTCCTCTGCCCTTACCATCCACACTAATGCCTTTCACGGGGGGTTGCCAGCAGTGTTTATCCCGTCTTAAAACTTTGTGAAAAGAAAACATTTCAGTAGCATTTCTATATTAACTTTTTCAATAGAGGAGTAACATTACCAAACCAACAGTTTTCAGGTTGAACGTAACAGCAAAATACAAAGGGTACTTTATAACAGCAGTTCTCAACTGCGAGTGATCTGGGCCCCGGGGACACGGCCAGTATTTGGCTGTCACAGCTGCAGTGGGAAGGAAAGATGCTACTGGCATCTAGCAGGAAGAGGCCAAGGATGCTGCTAAACATCCTACAGGGCATCAGACAGACCCTCAAAACAAAGAATGATCCAGCCCCAAATGCTGGCAGTGCTGAGGTTGAGAAACCCTGGTTTAGGAGAACTGACCTGAAGTACAGAAATGAGTTAACACTAAAACAAGTGGTCAATTCAATAAAAAGTTTAGAGGCTCAAATAAAATGATTACTTAAATGAGTTAAAACTAAAACAGTCAACCCAATAAAAAATGTAAAGGCTTAATTAAATACAATGATTATTTAAGTGACTCTAGACCCTGCAGCTTAGAAAAGATAGCCATCAATAGAATGTGCATGCAATCTGGCCATTTTCATTTTAGGTGTTTTTAAAATGCAAGACGTAGAAAAACAAACCTGGACAGGCATCTCCCGCTCCTTTTCTGTGGTACAAATTCTCCTTGGACGTTCGGGTCGTGGCTTCGGCACGGGGCATTCTCCTTGTATTGAACCCAACCTAGTGAAAAATACGAGCTCACGTGTTTTGGTTGTTTTCTAAACACACTAACTTCACTCACCGAAGCAGCTCCCACGTGGTCAAGTTCAGACCAGGCATTAAGGACAACGAGCTGACACGACACTGGACTTGTCAGGCCTCTGACCCCCTTCTGCTTCCTTGTTTCTAAACGAGCTCCCAGGAGTTTACCTGACCTTGGAAACCACCTCAAACACCTCCACGCTTTGCTCTGAGCAGCAATCAGGGAACAAGCCTCTTGCAGATGGCTGCTGTCTGTTTTGCAGCCAACTTCAGAGGTCAGGAAGGGTGAGCATGTGGGGAAGGGGGCAAACAGCTCCTGCTGTTGAAAGCCTTAGGACCAGGGTGGAGGCTCACAGCCCGACTCCAGAACACACCTATCTTAGGATAACAGGAGTCCACCTGAACTCCTCCACCTCCCAAAAAGGGCCTAATACAGGCTTAAGGTACAGCAATAGATGTACCATGTAGAGGCCAAGGCCTCAAGACTTTAGACCCATGTGGCCCCTACACCCGAAGAGATCTAGGTATAGTGTAGACAAACGTGTCCTTGTGCACAGACTTCAGCATAACCTGGCAGAGCCCCCAGTGCTGCACTGGAGCACTGCTCAGGTGCTCCAACAGCGTCGGGCAGAGCCGTCCACCCAGAGCAGGAGAAACCTGAAACCTGTCGGGAAGTCTGACCCTGTGCTCACAGCTCTGCTGGAGGAGTTGCTGGAGGTTCCCAAGTTGGGGCCTGCGGGGTAAGCAAACCTCAGCAGTTGGAAAGGCCCAGGGAAGAGCAAGTGCAGGGCACAGAGTTGTAGGTAACTCACTGTAGCTGGAAGCTGGGCGACCCAGGTGATGAACAAAGTGTCAGTGACACCACAGAGGGCCAGCCCTGCACCCTAGGGTTTGTGACAGACCCGAGCTCAGCAGCAAAACAAAGACCTGGATTTTATCCTATGATAAAGAGGTCTGACCTTTATGCTATAATATAGAAAGTGCTCTGGGCACCTGAGTTCCCCAAAGGCTTGTTAAAAACACGCCTGTCCCCACAACACAGGCCTAGTACATACTCATCCCCAAAGCCTTCTACCTGAGGCACCACCAGTCTCAAGAGGTCCTGAGAGTGAATGAGAACAGACAAAGGCCCAGGAGCTACACTCCTTATGGAAGAAAACGTGGGTGGTGACCCTAGAGAAAGTGTCTACTGGGGGACAAGATCTGCACATTTGAAGGCTGACTCAGAAAAGAACCATGAAGAGCTGTGCTGCCCGGCCGCAAGGCTCAGCGGCTGAGCGCCGACCTAGGATCCAGGAAACAGCNGTACATACTCATCCCCAAAGCCTTCTACCTGAGGCACCACCAGTCTCAAGAGGTCCTGAGAGTGAATGAGAACAGACAAAGGCCCAGGAGCTACACTCCTTATGGAAGAAAACGTGGGTGGTGACCCTAGAGAAAGTGTCTCCTGGGGGACAAGATCTGCACATTTGAAGGCTGACTCAGAAAAGAACCATGAAGAGCTGTGCTGCCCGGCCGCAAGGCTCAGCGGCTGAGCGTCGACCTAGGATCCAGGAAACAGCGGTTCGATTCCCGGTCAGGGCACAGGCCCGGGTTGCAGGCTGGATCCCCAGTCGGGGCCGTGCAGGAGGCAGCCAATCAATGACTCTCATCACTGATGTTTCTCTCTCTCTCCCTCTCCCTTCCTCTCTCTGAAATCAATGAAAACATATATATTTTTTCAAAAGGCTGTGCTTAGTTTCCCCAGAGGGCTAAGCTAGGAAATTAAGACAGGAACGAATTTCATTTGGGTATAAAGGAAACTTTTCAAAACTAGAGTTGCATCCAAAAATGAACTGGGCAGTTCACATGACAATGCTCAGTAGTCTTCAAACACAGGCTAGTAGCCACCCAGCTGGGAAGCGTGATGAACACACTTTACAGTGTCAGAGTCGGCGAGGCCCTTTAGAGGGTCCGCCTGCACCACAAGGAGCTGAAAGGTGGTAAAACAAAGCCAGACATGACACCAGGCACCCGAAGGCTCCCACGCCCTCGTCAGGAGGCTCTGGCCCTCAGCTCTTCCCGCTTCAATTAAACAGAATGAGTTTCCACCCATATCAAGATCTTATGGGCTTTTAAACCAGTTTATTGTCTCTAGACAATGGCATCATGACCGTCACGTCTATAGTATCAGGTAACTTGTCCCTACAATCAAAAACAATTTAAGGTTTTACAATGGCTGGTCTGTTGGATTTTTAAAAGAATCTTACAGGAAATGGAATGTGTGGGTTTTGTTAAAGGTGTTTTCTGCTGTTTTCCCCGATATCCTCCAGGAGTCATAGACTATGAATTCAAAATCAGGACCGTCTTCATCACGGACGAGTTCTTCGGCTTCTAGCGGATTTACACCCATGTGTGTCAGCTACAAAAATGAAGGGAAACAAAAACCCCAGTTCAGCCACGAGCAGTCACTCACCACATCCAACTACCTGGCCTAGACCAGGGAGAGGACCATCCATCTGAAAACTGCCCCCCTGGGAAGAGTTGGCAGAAGTCTAACAATCCTCTTATCTCAGACTATCTTACAGAAAATCATTACGTTAAATTTGCCTTTAGGGAAGTGCACTGTTATAACATTATGTAAGATTATAAAATGTCTAGACGTTATCAAATTAAAACGGTAGCATCCCACAGAAACAATAGCCAAAGCCCCCGCGAGCTGAACCCTGTGAAAGGCCCTCCAACTCTGAAGGAAAGAGCTTCGGAATCGGGCAGGGAGCTGCGGTCAGCCCCTCCATCTCCTGCCCCCGCCCACCGCCGCCCAGTGGTAGGCGGATGTTTCCACTCCTGTCTGGTCAAATCCACCCATCTCTTCTTTGTCGTCTCTGTATCTGTGTCAAATCTGGAAAGTCTTCCCCTCGCGGACACCAGGCAGCTAGTGACTTAGGGCTCTGGATGGAACGCTTTACGACTTCTGGAATTTACTGATAGGTTGTTTGAAGTACAGAGCTTATCCTGATAAGTAAAAGTAACTTAAAAAAGATGACCCAACATCAGGTCACTTTACTGAGCTGTACATGTGCACTTTAAAAAATGCTGTATACTTCAAATAAAAAGGGTTTTAAACAGACAGAAATGTAAGGTTTAAAATTTAAGTTAAACTTCAAATTTAAAAAAAATTAAGGTTTTAAAAGCAACAAACTCCTCATACCTTTACAAAATAATGATAATGAATTTATCTGGTCAGATCTCATGGTACTAAGTCACTTAATAATATTTGACAGACATCCAGTGGGAAGGTCAACGTCCCAGCAGAAACGTTGGGAGGTGGCTCAGAGCAGAACCAGGAAAAAACAACAGATTGAGAGGAAAGGTCAGTCTCACTGTGCGTCTGGGGGTTAATTGATGGAGGGAAAGTTTCAAAATTCCAGGTTAACAACCATTCAAACTTATTAAGAGGCAAAGAAAAATAAAACAGGAAAAACCACCAAAAAAAACCCCAATCACATTCCTATGGTTCTGAAATATCCTCAGACAGACTACAAGCAGCCCGTCCACCAGACTGGACTCGTTCCAGCTGAGCCTGCCATCTGCAGTGTGGGCTCTGGCCACCCCTGGGCAAAGGTCCCAGGTCACTAAGAATAAACTAGAGCATGTAATGAGCTGATAGGTGACTGAGGAGAAAACACGACCACTTGTCATTAAACACAGCACCCAGAGTCCCAGGAACCTGGTGATTTTAAAACCGCTCTAAGCTCCGACCCAGAGCCCACCACGCAGCTCTTCTGTCCTCTATTCAGTTTGGTGAGGCCTCTGTGAAGAAATCTGAGACCCCCCAAAAGGAACACTAAAGAGAAAGCTATTGGCATGTGGATATAAGCAAAGTCGGTAATTACACAAACCAAATATTTTTTTAAAGTCTGTAGCTTTGAACTTACTAGAGTTTCAACGTATCTTAACATATCGAACGAGTTCAGATCAGAACGCAGCTGCTTGGCTTTCTCTTTGCCCAAATCCGAAGCCAAAACAAGAAAGTGGGCGTCCAGGACCGCTTCTCTGGCTCGGGACACTGTTCGAGAGAGAAGAAAAACACATTGTCCACAGGTGTTTCCCATGCATTTCCCACTGGACCAAATATAAATCTCAAACGTACCTATCTCACTCTATACACTGGCCCCCCACCCAGCCCACCAAAATCTGGACCCGGACTTGAAGCTGAGCAGTCTTCCTGAAAGCCAGCTGCCCCCGTTCCTACTCCTGGGGACTGAACCACGATCTCTTCACAACCAGGGTTTGACTGAACCCCACCATCCCTATCACAGGGCTCGACCCTGGACTCCAATGACCAGCCTGGTCACCCTCATCACGCGGGCTGGGGTAACTGCACGCCCACCGTGTGTTGACCGGCCATCGGCAGTTGTCAAGGAGCCTCAGCTGAAAAGTGTCAGAGCCGGGCGGGCACTGGGAGGCTCCCAGCCTCACCTGGCATCCGAGGCACCACCCCACAGGCGGCCAGGAGGCGACCTCTGAGGATGGATGACCCAAAAGGATGGGACAGAGGACATGGGGTTTAAGATAAGCTAGAGCGAGAAAAGACATAAGAGGAGACAAGAAGGGAATGGGCGGGGGACGGCGGATGAAGGCTGGGCGATGAGGGGAGGGTCTGCCTGAGGGGCCAGCAGGGCTGAGCGGCTGGGTTCCTTGGACCCTACAGGGAACAGGAAGCGTGAAAGGTGCCCTGGGAGCCCCGCGAGATGCACACGGCCAGGTTCAAACACAGATGCCCGCCTGGCCCGCTCCTCGCGGCCGTGACCTTTGAATCACCCAATTTGTGGACACTCCTCAGGCTGGCAGCTCACTGACCCCAGCTTTTGCTTTTGTAAGTCACTTTCTCGTCGCATTTCAGGAGTCACTGCAAAGGGGACCTGAGCGAGACGCGGGAGATGGGGCCCGGGCCGGGCCTGCCCCTCGGCTCAGCCGCGAGGGAGGCGCCAAGCTCCGCCCTGGGGGCCGCTGGGGTTCCACGGGGCTGAGACTGAGACCCTCACGTCCACCAGCGGGGACCACAGTTCCTGTGGCTGACCCACCCCGTGGGCCGGCTGAGGGGGCTATTCTGCCGAAAAGAGGGGACCCAGTGAGCAGAGGGGACGCGGCTGAGGGGCGGTGACCCCTGGACCCAGGACAAGGTGCCAGCAGCCTCGCGGCCCGCCGGGTGCAGGCCTGGGGGGCAAAGGGGCAGCGCGAGGGGCTGGTCTGACCAGCGGGCACGGAGGCGGGTCCCGGCCGTGGTCCTGGTTCCCGAGGGGCAGCGCCCCGGGGTCCCCCCCTTCCCGCTCCCCAGGGTGTCGGGGGCCTGTCGTCGGGCGGTGACCGTGCCCACGGCGGGG